ATAGAAATAAATGTCCGCATCTGTCCCCTTTTTAAGGCAAACGGCAAAATCATTTCGCGTCTCCCGGTCCGTCCAGATCCGCCCAAGGACCGTGGGGAGACCCCAGCCTCTGGGCAAAACTTGCAGCCCCCTCCTGCAAACGAGGGGTGCGAAGTCTTGTGAGATAAAATGCTGGAGCAAAGGGGAAGGGGGGGGGAAAAAATCTCTGTAAATAGGTTGAGCATCGGGAGCCTTTGTGCCCAGGTCGCCTTGGAAGGCGGAGGGGCGTCGGGGATGCCCGTCCCTCCCGGCTCCCCTTTCTGTGGTCTCTGACACGGTCACATCAAAGGACCGGCCGGGGAGGTCTGTGCGCAGCCCTGGCCCCGAAATTTGCGCCTGGGAAAAGAGACAAAACCAGGCGATATTAATACATGACTGAACGGCGAAATATTGAATGTTTCTGTACGCGCGCGTTGCCAGAGGTTTGCACGGTTTGTCTGAAAACACCCGGAGTTGGAGGCGGAGGAAAAGGAGGGTTTTTTTAATAAAAACCATTTGCCACTTGTCTTCAATTAGGGTCCAGAAATTTAACAAAAAGAAAAAATGTCTGGTTTTTTTTTTTTTCCCCTCACTTGCCGTCGGGATCAAGAGGTAAACGCGGCGCCCCTGCCAACGGTTTCAGGGCTTCGCGTTAAAAGGAGAGCGAAAACACAGGCGGTATTGTCGCGATCCGTGTCGGCGTGGCCGGCTGCGGGGGGGGCGATGCGGCCCCCGCACACACCTCGCCGTGCTCCGCCGCTCCCCCCGCCTTGGAAAAGGCTTCTCCGCCCGGAGCAGGACCCCCGACGGGCCGCGGGACCCCCGCGGGGTTCGGGAGCGCCCCCGCGGGCTGCGGGAGCGGCGGGACGGGGGGACCCGGCTGCGGGGGCCCGGGGACTTCGCGCTGCAGCGGAGAGGGGGGGTCCACTGCAAGGTGGGGTGCCCGCATTTTATTTATTTTTTTTTTCCTAGTGGCATCGGGGGAACCCCAAACCAGCGGGGCTTCTCCCTCCCCGGGGCTGGGCGGCCACGGAGCCTCCCGTCTGCGCATCCCGGGCAGGTGATGGGCACCTCGGAATCTCACCCCGCCTCCGCCCCGATATTCCCCTGCATCTTAGTGTCCATGACAAATAGAGGCAGGAAAGGAGGAGGAGGGAGAGAAAGACGGGCAGACAATAGCCAGGCAAATTGTTAGCAACTCCGGCGTTTGGGGAAGCGGGTACTGTAACTGCGCTCTCATCAGTCACCGCTCCTGAAGTGATAGTAAAAATGCATCTAAACATGCTGCGGTGTGATATATAAAAGCACAGCGGGATGAGCTGCTTTCCAAAAAGGGACTTGGTGATTGGATATGCCTTGGCATGATTGACAAGAGCTTAGTTTGGTAAAGAGAAGACACGCAAGCTTTCACAGCGGGATTTCTTTTCTAAAATATATCACACTAGCCTTTGAAAAGCGCCGCACACTATAAGGGAAATAAGGTTGCTTTATAGTGCGCTGACATTTCTTTAAAACACAACTAAGATCAAAAAAAGAAATAAAATGTGTTCCAAACACAATGTTTTAATTAGTTTATTCTGTGCATTTGCTTTTATCTGGTGTATATATCACGGATCCCCACCCTTTAATTAAAACAACTGGCTGCCTATACAACAGCAGAGACAAATGCTTAACTTTCTCCTTTGTAGCTACAAGCAAACGCAATTTACTACAGCTCTCAGAACAGTTTTTAAAATAAACGTGGACGCCTTGAAAGCTATCGGGGAACGGGCGAAGGTAGCGGGAAATGGCTCTTTCCCGGCTTTGAAAAACTTGAGAGGGCGTGAAGTCCCGCGCCCTGCCCGCGCCCTGCCCGCGCCCTGCCCGCCGCGGGCTCGCAGCCCTGCCGAGGGAATGTAAACGCAACGAGAGCACACCGCTGCCTTCAGCTGGGAGCCGCAATTGAAGGGCTGCGATGGGGCTTTCCTTTTGCTTGGTTGCTTTTTGAGTTTGTTTTGTTTTCTCTCTCTTTTTGTCCATTTTTTTCTTTCCTTCTTTTTTTTTCCCTCTCTCTTTTTTTTTTTTTTTTTTTAAATTTTTTTATTTTGGTGCGGCTTTGATGTGTTCTAGCTCATGTGCTGGAAGAGGGACTGAGCATCTAGTTTCTAATAATCTTCTCCAGACCACTACCTCTCTGACTTTGCTGGAAGAGGACCAAGCTGCTGGTAAGTCAAGGTCAAGAATGAACTTTTAAAGTGGAGGAAAGCCAAGAGGTGTAGCATAACATATAGTTTTCTAGGACCCATCCACAATGGATAAAGTAATTAAAATTCTACATTCCTAACGAAAAAATGGGACAGATAAAAACTGTAATAACACAAGGAGATGGTAAATAGATGGGACAAATGGAGTGCCATATAGAAACAGGATTGGAAGGAAATGTAAGGGTTGATCATGTAAGTTTCTACACAAAAGTTGGAAGACTAAAGAGCAAGATGAGAGCATAGCTCTGAATAAAACAAAAGTATGTTGGAAACTTGGAGGAAGACAAATCGTAGCACACACCGTTACCAGAATACAACATATGTAAGGGACCTAAAATAAACTATGCAGTATAAGGCTTTTAAAAATGTCAATCTGTATGCTTTTGTCTACTTCCAGAAGAAAAGAATATTTAATTTCTGATTAATTTAATTTCTGATTAATTTATTTTCCCACATAACCCAATAAATATGAAACTCTGTTAGCCTGCGCCGGCCCCCGGCCCGCCGGGGCGGCCGGACCCCGTCGGGGCTGGGGGCTGGAGGGGCCCCTGGAGCGCTTCGTTCCCCTCGTTGGCGAAGGGAGCGGGGCAGGCGGCCAAAGGAGCGGGAGCGGGTCCTGCCCGCAGCTCTGCGGCGGCACCGCTTTTCCCGGGGAGAAAAAAATAAACCAAGGGGAAAAGGGAATGGGCAGATCACCCCAAGGAGACCGGCTGGGACGGGTCCCCGGGCCGGAGGGGCGAAGAGGGGCTCGGTTCGATCCTCGGCACCTTGGGGAAAGACCTCGGTAGTTGAGGGAAGGGTCGCTGGGCGATGTGGCCGGCGGGAGGATAGCGAAAGGCGAGCGGTGGAAACGGCACAGCCCTAGTGTTGGTGGTTTGTTTTTTCTTTTTTTTTTTTGTCTAAGACCTTAAATCGTTCAACACCTTGTTCCAACACGTCCTAGGGGCTGGCGAAATCGTGCCCCCGTCTTTAGGGGATGGCGGGCGGCGGGAGACACCCTCGGTGCCCGCCGCCGTTGTGCCCGTCGGTGCGCCGGGACGGCGCTGCCGGAGCCGATGCTGGGCGCACGGCCCGGGGCCGGGGCCCACCCGCGGCCCCCCCC